TTGAACTAAAAATGAAAACCCAAACTGGACAATAATTATGAGACAGAGTGAGTACTATTTTTTTTGTTTTGGTTAAGTATCGTTACCCACATTTGAGAGGAATTTTGTTATATTTACATTATACATTCACTTTACCAAAAAAACACATGTTTAGCCATTCGAAATTTCCAATTTCATTGATTACATTAGTTAAAAATGGAAAAAGGAGATAGTAATAATTATGGAGAATGAAGATATGCATTGGGAATTGTTATGAGAATTTCAAGGATTGGTCGGAAGATGGTAGGAAAAAAAGGATGCATGGTAGATCCAACTTGAATGCTACTACTATTATATTTTTCCAACTTAGACTTCATCGGTTTAAGTTGTTGGTAACTTTGAAGTATAAATATATAGAAATGAATCATCAGGCATCATCGTTTCAGAAATTGATCGTTATTCACAATTTCACATATTATTTAGCTGGCTCTGGAGTCCGGACGAACCAACATTCTTCCAGAGTGCTTGTTCTTCCTTGCTTCAAACAAACAAATTTATTAATTAATATGGGTTTCCATCTTCCATTTATTTTTCATTTTTCACTGCTGATATATTTCATTATATTGTCATGTAGCCCTCATTCATGAATCTCATTTACAAAGGGTCAGGTCATAGTTTATATATGTATTAAAAAAAAAAATTGCATGAAGAAAAGATAAAATAAACTATATGTATATCCGCAGTTTCCTGCTATCGGAAATTAATGAAAGCTCCTTTTGGATGTTGAAATTTTCAAAATGAAACTATAAAACAAGGTTCTGTGCCTCGAGGATAAGGACTATTCGTACTCCATCACTTCTGGTCCAACTATAGTTTTGATGCATTATCATACTTCATACATATGCTTGGCTGTGAATAAAGAATGATCTTTTCCTCAAGAGTTTTTTTTTTTCTTTTTTTTTTAAAAAGAAAAGATTGTTGTCGACCTGATTTGAATTTCAATTACGCTACTTACCAATTCAAAAAAAAAAAATAAAAATAAAATTACGCTACTTACAACAATTTCATCCAATCCTCCAGAAATTGAGGCCATTGCATGCATGTAAATTATTATTGATCCCATGCCCTCTTCTCTAGTTTTTCCATTGGAATAATCGAAGTATAATAGCGCACCAGATGCCCATACTTGAGAGTAAGGTGTTATGATTATTTTTTTATTTTATTTTCTTCAAAATAAAAAAAACATAGTCTAACAAAACGAATTTTATAAAAAAATATAATCCACATTTAATTTTGAGATTAAACAATATAAATTTGCTCAATACGAATTAGGTACTCGCAATACGAAATAGCTACTATGTTATATAAAAGCAATACGAATTAGGTACTACCTCGCAGTTGCAAAGTAATACTTACCAACTTTTTCTTAGCTACTATGTCACAGTGTTTAAGGCTTTAAGCTAAATATGAAACCTCAAATTACTAATAATGTATTATACGCTCTCCATTTTTCCCAATATTTAAAGGTTTTTTTTTTTTTGTCTTTTATAATCCACCATTCTTATTGTAAGTTTACTATTTAACACGCGCACACCCATTTTCAGAACCGTGAATAAGAAGACAATTTCTCTCCAGAATGACTGACTAAATTACTTCGATTCTTCGACAAAAATAAAAAACAAAAAAATAAAAGACCTAGGATGCTTTAGAATGTAATTTCCCAAGGCCCAAATTTCAAACAAGCAAAGGTTTTAGTATAGTTGACAATAATTATTCTCCAAACTGAAAACAACACCTAAGTAATTGACAACTTCACAGAGACACGCGATGAATTGCGCATGCAAGCATGCAGAAGCCACACAACATATTATATTACTGCCATGCTCTTGACACAAAGCCATTAAAAAATTAAGGTTTGTGATCTCAAAAAGTATATTCCAAGTGATTACTGAAAATGTGGTATAAGTAATTTGGATGAAGAAACAGGGGCTATAAAGGCAATTAGTAGAAGAGACAGAAAGGCCAAAACCCAACTTGGGGATTGAGGAAAGACAGACATTGGTCTTCCACTGAATAAATTAAAATTACTGGGTGGTGGGGTTTCCATTTTTTTAAAAAAATTTTTTTTTTGTAAGACTGCTGGGTGCTGATGATCAGTTCCTGCAATCCAGGCACAAATAAATTACTCTTAGAACACAATAGAATACATTATTCGTGTTCGACAAAGCCAAACATCATGTAATATAAATCAAGAAATGGCTTTAAGCATTTTTAATACATCCTCTGTTGTAGCCATAGGGTTGTGTGTGTGACTGTGTGTTAGGGATGGCAATGCTGTATGTGTCTCTTATTCGCAGGTCTTGTTTTGGTGTTTGACTGTTACCATTATCTTTATGATACCGAGCTTAATATTTCTTGCGTTACAAATTAAACAATAATTTTAGAACAGAAATAGTACTTTTCATTTATCCAAAAATGACTTCTGTCACGCTTTTCATATTGAACTATCCTAAGTATGTAATATCAAGAATTAAATTATGTCGTGTCACAAATTACAATTCTTAATACTCCCTCCATTCCAAAATAAGTGTCATCCTACACTTTGCACATAGTTTAAGAAACTCTTAAATAGGGTAATAAAATTACTTCAATATACTCAACCAACCCCACTAAAAAAATGTCCACCAATAGTATTAATTCTTTCGAGGGTAATTTTGGATAAAAAGTGCGTTGAAATGTGAGAACGACACTTATTTTGAAATTTCTCCATTTTGCTAAAACGATACTTATTTTGGAACGGAGGGAGTATATGTTTTCCTTAGATTAGGTAAACAAATGGCACAGAACTACAACTCTCTTAATCAGGATAGGGTAAGCAAGAGTTTGGGTAATAATAAAACTAAAAAATCGCTATTTTTAAAATGAGTGCATAAAACACAGCTGTCTAAATTAACCGTGATAAGAGGAGTAAAAAACGAGTACTAGTAATGAAGTGAATTTGGATTGGGGAATGAAAGAATGGGTTAAGGAGACAGCATGCTAAATGAAGTGATATGGGGAGTAGGAGAGAGTGGGGAGGGACGTGAAAAAACAACCAAATGTTTCCTACGAATAGTACAAGTGTGTCTAACAAGTGAAGGGTGGATGTGGGTACAAGGTTGGATGGTCTCATTACCCACATGTTCTTCCTCTTCTTACTACTACTACTATTCAATAATCATCATCAATTTTGCACAATGCTCTATGCCCAAATTTTATTAATTCCTTTTCCTCGTTCATCTGCCCATACAAATTTCTGGACATCTTCCTCAGTTACAATACGCGCATGCACTTATTATAACAAGTTTTAATAAGAAAATTACCATCCCGATGTTACTGTGCCTCCGATCCATCCGTGCCCTTTTTCCAGTTAGAAAGGCACTTAGCTTTTCAAGTTACACAGTAGTACTGAATAAAGCCGGGCATGGGGTACGCATATAACTAGATAAACATTACGTTCGTATTTGAGGAAAAAGAAAATAACCAAGAGATTGATATTTTCTTTGTAAGGGCTCATTGATAGCCTAATGTGGTGTAGATGGTTTTTGTGTGATGAGGACCGTTGGTTTGGTTGGAGGGATCAAAGAGTAATTGAATAAATTATGATCACCGAAAAATTTGAATATGATGTTGTTAGTGTTTGTCATCCGTAACAGAATTTTGATGTAATAATTTTTAGATTTCCACCTATTTCTTTAGCCACAGAATTTTTTTTTATTTTTATTTTTTTGGTTGTTTCACCCTATTACGAGAACAATTGAAACTAAATTACTAGTAAATTGTACGATGTGATATACTAGTATTCAACTAATATCCGCCATCACTAGACTGTCGTGATTCTTTTCGTTCTGTCCTCTTGAATTAGAACCCAAATTCGCTGAAATTTTTGTCTTCCAGAGTTTTTGGTGGGCACTTTCTTATTAGTAATCTTTTTATTCTCCTAACTAATGGCCATAAAATAAAGATATAGACTATGAAGTTATTTTAAAATAATAAGAGTGGTAACAATGGGTAGGTGCTTTTGTTTTATTTTTTGTAGTTTCATGTAGCGGTTCTTCGTTTAACTTTCATGTGTGATTTAGCTCTGACGGAGTCCGTATAAAATATCTCATACTTTAAAAAATTGATGAGTCGCAGCATTGGTGAAAATAAACGGAAAAAAAACAATTATGGATAACCTTGTCCCCTCTCACTCAGAAAGAGAATGGAAAAGGATAAAAAAAAATAAAATCGGAATGGTTATTGAGTTTTTCTTTTTCAGTTTGTTTGATGAGTCAACCGATCCAATATAAAGGTAATGCTTTTCTTCTTTTTTTTTATCCTATTTTCTATGATATGTTATTGTTTAAAGTTTAATTACAAAGAGAAAGTAAGTGCGACATTGTACCTCACAAAACCGTACACTCACAAGTCATAATATATGTTCATAATATTCAAAATTCCATTACTGCTCCATTATTATTATTATTATTATTATTGTTGTTGTTTGTATATTCATATTGCATATTACTGTTCCATTATTCTTACACAGTTTGTAACATATAAAATGGAACGTGATTCAACGAGTTGAAAATAACACTAGATTTAAGTGATAAAATTGTTGTTTAGTTATGATCAGAACACGAATCTTGACATAATCATGCAATCTTATTCCAAGGGGGAGAATTTTGTTTTGGTCAGTAGAAACTTACCTGACTCAATTAACTGAAATCACAACATTTTATACACGAAAGGGTATGTATAGAAAAACTACAAAATGAGATTGGAACAATACAATGTGGTCCACGTTAGTATCATCAGTTACTTACAAGAATAATGAAATTCTCAACGGAGTACTAATTAATAACACTAAAATCATAATAATACTAAATAAGAGTAACAAAAAATGTAACGCTGGATAAAATAAAAATGGTTATTATAAGTAACAAAAAAAAAAAAAAACAGAGTGGTCCAAAGGTGGCAGTGTCACAAAACAAAACAAAAGCGTGCCAAATGGGACTCTCACGTGCGATCATCCCTTCTCCCCATTTTCTATATAAACCCCTCAATGCTTGGGCAAACGTTGTTGTATTTGTATGGTGAGAGGCCCCCAACACCCAAAAGCCAAATAAAAGGCTTATCATCCATTTCATCTCAAACCTTTTCAAGTGCTTATAATATTAGTCCATGCATTTGCTGCATTTACTTCTCATTTTCTGATTTTTTGAGCATAAATTTTAGGCTGCCGCCCCATTACATTTTTCTTGACTGCAGAAAGGGGGAAGGGAGAAAGAGGGGAGAAAATCGATATTGTAGTACTGTTTTGTTAATCATAAATAGATAGAGACAAAATAAAAAGGGCTTGTTGTATTTCCTGTTTTTTCTTAAACCCAAAAAAAAAAAAAAATCAAAATTGAAGGAAAATTTGAAAAACAGAAAAAATGGAGAGAGAGTGTGAAACCAAGGAATCAAGATTCAGGAAGATTTGTGTTTTTTGTGGCAGTAGCCAAGGAAAGAAGACTAGCTATCAAGATGCTGCTATTGAACTTGGGAAGGAATTGGTATATTTTTCTTCATCTTCTCCCTTCCCCATTTTGGGTTTCTTTTGAACTTAATAGTCCACATATTGAACTCTGCCGTTCGTTTTCTGGCACATTTTTCCATCCGGGGTTTCTCCGATGAAAAAGGGGTCATTTTCTGTTGTCCATGTCAAGTGATTTGAGTTGGGTTTTCCCCAAATCAATCAAGAATTTCTTCCAAAGCAGTGTTCTTTTCCCCCATTTTTCTGATTCGGAAATTGAGGTTGCTAGTCCGGGATGGCTTTGGTTGCTTTGACTTTGATTTCATGCAAAAAATGCAGTCTTTTCTGGTGGCTTTCCCTATCAGAGCCATCCTTGCATGCTGTACATATTGTACTCATATTTCACAGGAACGCACATAATCCCAATGGATACACTGTTCTTCAAGTTACCTTTCCTTTGTTTGAAAGCGGGAAGATTAGAATTTTATTCGTGTACTCAACATCTTCTTTCTTTTCCAATGTGTTATTAGCATTTGTCCACAGGGTATTTTCGCCCCCTGTCCTTTTGAAGAGCTTTGCTTTTAATACCTCTTTTGATGATCTGGTTTTCTGTTTAGTTCAGTATGCATTTAACCCCATGAATCGAATGTATTTTGTTTTCCCTTTTTAGTTTACAGGACATGTATTTCCACCCCTTTCATCTTTTACAGTGATTGAAGAGTGTAAAATTGAAAATGTGACTTCAAAAGGTCTTTTGATTAAAAAAAATTGGTCCTTTTTCTGAGTTTTTAAAAGACAATATCTTCTCCAAAAAATCTTCCCAGTTCAAACACAGTCTAATTCATCCTTAAACAAAGTTTTAACTTCATGGGATTGATTGGGTTTCGTTCTCATTGAAGGTTTCCAGAAACATTGATTTGGTCTATGGAGGAGGCAGCATAGGCCTGATGGGTTTGGTTTCTCAAGCTGTTCATAATGGCGGTCGGCATGTCCTCGGGTAAACTCCTTGCTTCTTCTACACACTTATTATTCAAATTTCTCGGTTACTTTGTCCTCAAAACCCTCAAAACAGAGCGACGAAAACAGGGGACTTTGAAAAAACATAATGAAAGTTTTAGCATGTATTATGTTCTTTCATTTGTTTCACTAAAAGCCTAAAAACTAATTCTTGTCATGTTATTGTCTCTCTGTAGAGTTATTCCCAAGACGCTCATGCCTCGAGAGGTATGTCCGCTGTCTTTAAAAGCCTTATGCCTTTTTTTCCCTTTTCTTAAACCGCAAACATTAAAGCCCCACCATGTTTATACTGCGTTAATCTCTCAAGCTCGATTGGCTCTGTTTATGGTTTCAATCAGTTGGGTGTAATCTTTTTATGATTTCTTATTTGCCCTTTATTATGACAATTAACTTTTAATGGTACACTTTTTTTATTCTGCTTTTCCCCTTTTAACTCTGTTTGATGGGTTTGTTACACATTAAATCATTGATGTTAAATGTTAATCAATCCTCTTTCCTTTTTGTTGTTTTTTTCCCATTGGGTTTTGCTGTTTTGTGGGAGGGGTTGGTTTAAGTTTCTCATTGGTCCTGGATAGCCTTATCCCTTCGGGTAAGTACTTGGGTTGAGTAGCTGGCATTCCACAACAACTAGTAAGAGTTTTTTGGGTTCATAGTGCTTTCTCTGTTTTTGCCTTTTCTGTTCTTTGTTAACTTTTGTTAGCTTATGAGAGAGAGCATTGCTTCTTGTAATTTTCTGCCTTGGCTTCTTCTGTGGTTTGGAACTTGGAAGTTATTGGTTTGATGTAAATGCAAAATAGGTAATAGTGTAACTCTTAAGAAATTTATCCATCCAGTGGTCTATGACTCTATTATGACTACTGGTTCTGAATGACGTTGTTTTTAGAGTGCTATGGATTAATTCCACCATTCCTGCAATCCTCATCATTGCTTACACTGCACAAGTGCACAGCACTCTGTACAATCTTTAATCTCTATCTGTCTCTCTCCCTTTTATCTATCTCTCTCTGTTTCTCTCTCCATTTTTTCCTATATCGAAAAAGTCATGATTAATTTTCTTCCTGGATTTGTGTACCCCTTTTTTTTTTCCAGTTAACTGGTGAAACAGTAGGTGAAGTGAAAGCAGTTGCAAACATGCATCAAAGGAAAGCTGAGATGGCTAGGAATTCGGACGCTTTTATTGCCTTACCAGGTTGGTGTTAAGCCTTCTTACTTTTGCACTAAAAATTTCAACTCAGATAAATACAAGACAAGGCACCTCAATTTTCCGATTTTGGGCAACACAGATTTGCTCAATCTCTTATCTTAATATAATTCCCATAGTTGCCTGGTATATTAGTTGAATTCTAGAGTTGGGACTTGGGAGGAGTATGAAAAATCATAAAAACGGAAATCGGTTGTTGGGTTCTTATCTCTTGCACTTATGTGGTGGTTCATTTCCTTTGTTGGAGAAATACAACTTTTACATCTTTAACAACATATATGGTAATGCAGTAGAAACAAGTTTGGAAATTGGAAGTAAGAAATTGCCTTGTCTGGGAGGCATTGTCTTGGCTGTCCCAAGACTGGGATATCATCTAAAAAGGTTAAGGGGAAGATATGAAAGATGGTTGCTTTTCTTATTCCTTTTTCCCAGGAATTGAAAGTGAACCACATGATATTTGAAACTTTCCCTGTTTTTTACACTAGTCTATCAGTTAAGCCCCTAATCAGGAAATGCTTTTGAAATTGGGAAAAATGAATGGAAGAAAGTTTGCCATTTTAGATGAGCATTTGTGGTAAACTAAAAAAGGCTGTTGTGAAGGTGGCAGATGAACTGTACAGAGTCTATGGGGATCAGAAACTTACTGCTTTCTGAAGTTTATCTCGCAAACCCCAAGGCAACATGATTAAGAGAGCAACCCTTCAAAACCCCCCATTTCCTTGACCTATCAACATCTTGCACTGAATATTAGAGCCCTTTTTATTTTGGTTATATAACCTTCTTTGTTGTGTTCAAATCTTCAAACACCATTGTAAATTACTCTTTTCCCCCTTCAGTCGATGGGTCCCACAGCAGGACCCATCTATCATGTAAAACAAAGACTCAAAATCAGACTTTTGTAATGTGGTCATACCCTCTGGTGCCACCTCACGGATGTTCTTTGCCGATTACCATTGTGATTTGCAAGCTAGAAAACTAGAAAAGTGGTAACACATGTAGCACAGAACTCTTCTCTGCTTCAAAATAACAAAGTCTGGTGTGTTTTCCCACTGAACTAGCATCCAATCCTCAAATTGGAATAATGCATATGTGTGCTCATATTGATGGCTGTAAAGTAGGAAGTAATAGGTATGACATATCCTTCTTCTTGTTGAATGATGGAAGAATTGAAGTCAGCACATTCATACATTATGATAACTGGATGCTTATGTTAGTTCAGTGTCATTTGCTATCTGTGTTTAACCATTTAATAATGAATGTACTTCAATTTTGTAATCCGATGCAGGTGGATATGGAACACTTGAGGAGTTGCTAGAAGTGATAACATGGGCTCAGCTTGGTATTCATGATAAGCCGGTAATAACTCATATTCAACTTTTGCTCAATGAGAAGTGTAGTAGTTACTCTTCTCTCTCAAAACTGTAAAAACTCATTGAAAATTATGAATTTTGCAGGTGGGATTGTTGAATGTTGATGGCTATTACAATTCATTGTTGTCATTCATTGATGAAGCTGTGGAAGAAGGATTTATCAGTCCAAATGCTCGACACATCATTGTTTCGGCCCCTACTGCCAAGGAGCTAGTCAAGAAATTAGAGGTGAATACAACTCTGAGGTTGAAGAGGGAGTCTTTTATTAATTTCGCAGGATATCTAAATCTGCAGAATAAGAGTTCTGATATATCTTGTGATTGCCTTGACAGGAGTACGTGCCTCGCCATGAAAGAGTGGCTCCGAAGATAAGCTGGGAAATGGAGCAGCTTGGATATGGGTACCCTGCATCAAAATTTGATATTTCCAGATGAGAAATGGACATAAATATATAATGCAGCAGCTGAAGGAACATTCTGACCCAAGAAATTGTAGGAATTTTTGTTGGTGAAAGGGGGAAATCCTTTTGTAAATTGAGATGGTGAAAGTGACCTCAATGTTTGACAACCTTTCTATATTACCCCTTGTCACTTTTGGTGTTCTTTTGCAAGTTGTAACTATAAGAACAAAATTAAGCTTATGGAATTCTCTAGTTGAATCCCCCAAGTCCTAACTTATGTATCTACCTACAACTTAGTTCCCAATTGACCTTCTCCAAAATAAGCATATATATGTATAAATTTTCATGGGATTTAAAGAACCCTTATGCAAGGGTACGTACCAAAAATATCTCAATATGGATGTGTCAATTGATTGATTAAAAATAAATAAATAATGGAAGATCAGAAGAAAAAAGAAAAAAATGGGGGGAGTCAGAGAACAGGAAAATGAAAGGGAAGTCACTGTTAACAACTGGAGGTGATAATTAAGGAGAGTGTAAGTTGGAGTAATAGATGAGCATTAGTTAGTAGTGTGGTGATAAGGTGCGCCCCCTTTGCTTTGGTAGTGTAGTCATGAATCATGATCGTACTCATGGAATCATTACGCTACTTCGTACTCCTAGTCTCCTACTACTTTTCTTTCTTTCTTTCGTCTAGACAAACATTCACATCCCCCATAATTCATCCATCCATCAATTTAAATTCCTCTGACATTTCTTTTATTTGGTTTATTTACAGCTAGCAGGTGGAAAATTTACAGTTCACTGCATTGATTTTTTTTTCCTAGTCCTATCTCAAATGTGACGCGTTGTCATTAAAAGTGACAGTGATAACTATCGAACTCAACTTTAGTGTACTCGAAGGTATGTAATAATCAAACCGGATCAATTACAAAAACACGTAGAAACTGTTGATTCTTAATTAACAATCACCTAATATGAATTCGGTAAAAGGGTGTTTAATAATAGAATTAGTTGACTTTGGTGAGATTACAGAACCACTTGGGAGGGTAAAACTAAAAACTAATGGAGCTTTGTGGAGAGGGACATATGTGTTGGAGGAGCCGAAGGGGGATGATGAGGCCTGAGGGGCCTGGACCTGACCTGAGCTGGTATTTTTTTGAGTTTTTCAGTTAAAGCCAAACGGACCGACCAAGTTGATCCATTTCCGGACAGGCAACCAAAACGGGACCAATCTATCTTGCGGCTGCCTGCATTACTACGTACGTAGTAGCAGAGAGAGATTTTTTTTTTTTTTGATCAAATTACTGTGTGTGTGTGTGTGTTGTTACGGGTGATTGGCCATTTGCTTTGCAGTTTTTGGAGTTTGCTTTCATTTGTTATTTTTCTTTGTGGGTCGGCCTTGAATGAATAAGACATTCCCCAGAGGCCAGAGTCAAGTTGAGAGTCAAGTCGTGAATGTCACCCCAAGATGTGTGTGTGTGTGCTTGGACTTATGTTGTAGCACAGCCATAAAGGTTATGTTTTTTTTTTTGTTTTTTTTTTGGTAAAAAAAAAAAGAGGCAATTACTTATTTTATTAGATAAATGTAGCTTGCTGGTAAAAAATGACAACTATATCATGTTTTAATTACAGTTTTTATCACTCTAAAAACTCCTCTATCCACAACAAAATTCAGCTATGGTATATGTATGTTTTTGCTTCACCAACCAATCCCTATGCATCACTAAAGGCCAATCCCCCCAACTCATTTCTGTTAAGCAGCCTGTTCTTTTGACCATTCATACTTGACAAAAACAGCCATCCAACTTTCCCGACTTCTTTGGAATATTTTAGAACCAGCCACCTATAAAACATGGAGAATCTACCGCCGCTCAAACAATAGAAGCGTAAACATTTACTCATTCCGTTCCAATAATCCAATTTAAAGTTTTATTTTTAAGTAAAATAAAATCGAAATTGAACAATCATTTGAGTACAGATAAAATATTAAAACAATGGTCAATTCAACCTTCAATTTACCAAAGGTCTTAAAAAACAATGGTCAATTCAATCTCTAGAATTTATTACACTACAATATCAAATAGAAATATTGAATGAAAATATTTATCGACATACCGATACCGAGTTCGAGATAACAAAATTTTCTCATTACAAGATGAAAAACAACAATTGATATATGAATTGTTATGTGAGTGGTAAGACACATTTCACTAACTCTATGTCATGAATATATAATCTCGTGCGAATTTTAATCACCCAAAAAAAGAAAAGAAAAGAAAAATCTCAAAGAAAGACAAATGGGATGAAGACACGTGTAGGAATGGGTGAGATGCAAGGAGGTGCCGTGGATGAAACCGGGGAAGGCGTGCAACCCATGTGGGTTGGGATAATTCTAAGACAAAATGATAGCTGTTTTGGTGCCTTTCCTTTGGGCTGCTTGCTTGCTGGCTGCTGATGGTCCCCTTGGATTCATCAATTCACCACTATTTCCCACCCAGACGAAGTGATAACTGATAACTGAACAAGAATTACCCAACTTTGCAAATTCCCCATATTTTTTGAATCAATTGAATGAAAATGCAATTGGAATTAGGTTGCTGCAGAGTCCATTCAGCAATATCTTTTCTTGGTTTGTTTGTCTCAAATGCAAAATTGAGACACGGAAACTAGTGGAAGTGGGGGGTGACAAAGGACTTACACTCATCATTTGCTGTTTTCAAAGAAAAGAGAAGACTTCCTCAGAAATCACCCAACTTGCAATAATCATACACAAAGTCAACTAAATCATGCAGGACAACAAACAATAGTGATACACTTATACCTCCTACTGAGTATTTGTCTCCAGCAACCATCATCATATCATTCCTTTCCGGTTTTCCCCTAATGAATCAATCAAACAGTATATTCTCCTGTACGGAGGAGTATATTCCATAATCCATAGTGAATGTTATAAAAATTGCATTACAATATCAGATAACAGAAAACAGAAAACATCCTTCTGGGATCTGCTGTCAGTGTTGCATTTGGAAATTATGGAACCATGATCTGGGCCTCTATAGTTTTGGGCCATCTATGTCGCTGGGGCCTCATAAGGGGTCCTTTTTAGAGCTGTGTTCCAGCCCACGAACCGGCCCAAGCAGTAAGAATAGAGTGGTGGTGGGGTGGAAACAGAAAGCCATAATACATAAACCTCAAGTGGAGAAACATTGCCTGGAGCACAATCCAGATAGAAGTGGTTGTCTGCGGTTAACCGCAACTTTGAAAGTTAGGGGGAGCACAGGAGATTAAGGCATCATTGGGTCATGCTAAATCCGGTCTCAACTTCAACAGACAAATTTCTTTTGCAAAATGGACTCTTTGAAATGATTGTCAAAAGGTTAAAGCAAAAAATGGCCATTGGCTATTTTGGCTTGCTGGTGCGGATGCTGGGTGGGCTGGTGGCTACTTTTCTTTGTTTGTGGATTACTGTATACGATCTGACGGGAAGAAGGCCCTCTTTAATTAATTACCCAGAAATGAATGAAATGATATGCCCCCCTAAATCACCAATAGTAAAAATACCATTAAAATCATTGTTTTTAAATTCTGTTTTTGGGGTCCTGACCATTGGAATGATGGCACATATCCAGGCACACTATAACTCTAGTCCCTACCACTTAACCAACCGACTTGCGAGCCAAATTGAGGATTGAATCGATTGCCCCTGCACCCACTTTGAATCTGTGAGCATTTTTAATGGTACAACCACGTACTACCGTTTATCTTGCTACGTACCATCATTTACATTTGCATGTTTGTTCAGAATTACTCACCTGGGAAAAGGGAAAGGTGAATTCTTGGAAAAGAATGCGCTTATTAAGGAAAGGTTTTACGCGGGTGGCAAGCTTATTAGTTAAATATAATTCGATTTTTTTTTACCGCCTATTTAAAAGTGCGGGTGTATGATGTAATAAATTCCATTTTTCAAAATCTTTAAACACCACTCTATAAAACTGTGATGTAATTTTTTTCATAATTTTAGCATTAGTTAGGAAAGATGTGATCCTAATTTTGTCACAAGTCACGCGAACAATTTTAAGTTCATTCAAATGAATTTTGGACAGTATCAGTATGTTTCGAATTATCATCCAACTTGCAAAACACAAATGGAACAAATCTACATTTTGGATGACAATCGTACAGAATTCTTTCAAATTCCGCTATATATTTCCTCCATCTAAAATGTGTTTAACGGGCCATCCCATAGAAGACGAATAAACCCACCCAGCCCACCATTTTCATACAACACCAATCTATGAGGTCCAATAAAAAGGTTAAGCAAACTTGTAGCCGAGGCCGACGGTAACAGTCCGGTGGTACAAACTATAAACCCACTTTTGCCAATTTATTATATGTGGATTTTGTTTGAACTAGGTTCCTTTCTGATTTCTGTAGACAAGATTAAGGGAAATATTTTTCTAAATAGAGGACTAATCAGCAGCATCTTTCCTTTTGATTCTCCATTTAGGTTTTGTCTTCAAGCGTACCTACAAAGCCCCAACATTTCACCATAATTTTCAGACGAGCTCATTATAATAAACACGCATACAATACTTTATATTTTATCTGGTTAAATACAGATACTTTGTTGAATGGCTCCAACAATGATTCACATATTTAAAAAGCATTTTTGTACTCAAATAAAAGCAGGTCCATGTAGAAATAAAATAACGTCAATACTGATCTATCATATGTTCATTATTTTTGTCGCGATTTCCAATAATTACCTTATACATATTTTTATTAAGAACACATCTGATTAACGTAACAGTTCCAACCAAAAAAAATAAATAAATGAATAAACTTTGAATTGTAGTTTAGAAGTATTTCGTAGTTTCAGACTTTCAGTGGCCAAAAACTACTGTAGTTATTCGGTTGGCATCGATAAGAGATGGAGGAAATTGCTGTGGTTATGGTTCCACTTCCAGCTCAAGGCCACCTGAACCAGCTCCTCCACCTCTCCCATCGCATCTCAGCCCACGGTTTACCGGTTCACTTCGTCGGAACACCGGTCCACAACCGCCAAGCCCAGGTCCGGCTTCACGGCTGGGATCCTCAGGCCACTTCTAAGATTCATTTCCACGACTTCTCCACAACTTTTCCGTCCCCACCTCCAAACCCAAACTCCACCAATAAACACCCTGTTCAACTCCTCCCTTCCTTTTATGCAACGGTCCATCTCCGGGAACCCATTTGCGAACTTGTCAAGAAACTCTCTATTACTTCAAAAAGAGTCGTTGTGATTCACGATTCTCTCATGAGGTACGCAATCCAGGATGTTGAAACCATACCAAATGCCGAATCCTACTGTTTCCACACCCCGTCAGCTCTTGCAATGTACACATATTATTGGCAAAGGGCTGGAAAACTGGTCACGGTCAACGGCGAGGCCATAGATGATGTCTTGCGCGGTGGTGCGACGGCCAGATTACCCCAAGAATTAGCCCAATTTTTTCAGATGCAAGCGGAATTTTCCAAGAAACGTAACTGGGGAAATCTTTACAACACTAACAGAGCAATAGATGGGGAATATCTAAACTTGATTGCTCGGGAGGAACCTTTTGCCGCTGAAAAGCATTGGGCAATTGGTCCTTTCAATCCTACAGACATCATCAGCCAGAAGAACAGAGCATCTGATAAAAAACGACACAAATGCTTAGACTGGCTTGACAAACAACCGGCCAATTCAGTCATCTTCATTTCCTTTGGGTCGACGACTTCCTTATGCGATAAACAAGTTGAGGAAATTGCAATTGGGTTGGATAAAAGCGGAGTGAAGTTCATCTGGGTTTTAAGGGATGCTGACAGAGCAGACGTTTTTGCTGGAGAAAGCAGGAGAGCTAATTTGCCTGATGGATTTGAGGATAGAATAACCAAATCAGGGAAAGGGATGATCGTGAGAGATTGGGCGCCTCAATTGGAAATTTTGGGACATTCATCAACGGGTGGATTCATGACTCATTGCGGATGGAATTCTTGTATTGAGAGTATTAGTTTTGGGGTTCCAATGGCGGCATGGCCAATGCATTCCGACCAGCCAAGAAATGCGATTCTGGTGACTAAACATCTGAAAACTGGTGTAAGGGTCGGAGAATGGGGCCACGACGGGGAATTGGTCAACGCCAATGAGGTTGAAAAGGCTATAAAGAGATTGATGGATTCGGGTGAAGGAGATGAGATGAGGATGAGGGCAGCAGCAATCCGGGATGCCATTAGAAAATCAGTGGAAAAGGACGATGAAGACGATACTACCAGAACAGAGATGGATGCTTTTATTTCTCATCTTACTAGGTAGATTTAGTCCTCATTCTTTGCAATTTGTTTTCTTTGTCTGCATAATGTATTTCATCATCTAAGAGTGGGATTATATATTCTCTAAAAATAAAAAATAAAAAATTAAGGCATAAGTCGGAAAGTATCCGGATGTTGACTTGGTTATAGACTTATAGGATACATCTCACCGTAAGATATATGCTTCAAACCGTATATCTCAATACTTCAGATCATAATAGATAATGAACGACATAATGTTTTTAAACCACATAAAAAGTTGCATTTGTTGTTATACCCTTAATCTTACCACTGCTACTAATTTTCTACTGTTATAAGGGCATAAATGTGAACAAGTAGACTTGTATAGCGCGTTTTCAAAAAATGAACCCTAAGCAGATAGAGAGTGTGTACAGAGGAAAGTGTAAAAACTAAAAAGTGGTCCATCTAAACCCAATGGGATGGGATAAACACGGTCCTTCCAGTATGATTAACTCAAAGCATTAGACAAAGGATAAGAAGTAGAGAAAATTAGTCCCGGATTCGGCTAGAAGACGGCCACAGTAGTCTCTTTTTGTAAACTAAGCAAGCATGCTGCATATCGCTTTTGACTTCTTTTGAGTTTTTTTTTTTTTTTTTGGTCTTTCTTCCGATGGTGACAACCAACGATAATTTAGATATAAATCAAAACAGTGGGATAACAATAAGTTGACCGATGATTGCATCGCCTTATCATTTCGTGGGCACATTCTACGATACCTCTACACATAAGCCCATGCATTTAGTAGTAGTAGTACATTTATTCATTTGTTTAAAATGGCATTTTCATGTAGCATTCCATCAAGGAAAAAAAAAAGGCAGCATTTGACATTTGTGGTCAATGATTAAACGAATAAATCGTTACTTTATTCGTGATTACCAATAATTAGCTTATATTTTATTAGGTGTACATCTGAATGATGAACATATTAAAATTCCTTTAAAAGACCACCACAATTAGATAGAAACCAAAAAGTCCCATATAATTTGATAGAACTCCCTTTAGTTCTTCAGTAGCCAACAACAACGGTAATAATAGTACGGTTTGACATCGGAAAAGATGGCCGACGACATTGCCGTGGTTGTGGTTCCACTTCCTGCCCAAGGCCACCTCAACCAACTCCTCCACCTCTCCCATCGCATCTCAGCCTACGGTATCCCCGTCCACTTCGTCGGAACACCGGTCCACAACCGCCAAGCCCAGGTCCGGCTTCACGGCTGGGATCCTCAGGCCACTTCCAAGATCCAGTTCCACGACTTCTCTGCAACTTTTCCATCTCCGCCACCAAATCCAAACACCTCCGACAAAAACCCTGTCCAACTCGTCCCTTCCTTTCATGCGGCGGCTCATCTCCGGGAACCCATTTGTGAATTCGTTAAGAAACTCTTGATTACTTCAAGGAGAGTGGTAGTGATTCACGATTACCTCATGAACTACACAGTCCAGGATGTTCCTTCCATTCCAAATGCAGAATCTTACTGTTTCCACAGCGCTTGTGCTCTTACAATGTACACTTACAATTTTCAATCCTTGGGGAAACCGGTCATGGTCAACGGGGAAGTCATAGATGACATATTGTGTGCTCCGACAGCCAGCTTGCCGGAAGAATTAGCTCATTATATTTATATTCAAATGGAATCAAGGAAGCCCACCTCTGGAAACCTTTACAATACTAGCAGAGTGATTGAAGGTGAATTTCTCAACTTGATTTATCGAGAGGAGCCCTTTGCCGCTGAAAAGCATTGGGCAATTGGTCCTTTTAATCCTCTGGATATAACCCAGAACAGAGTATCAGGTCAAAAACGGCACAAATGCTTAGAATGGCTTGACAAACAACCGGAGAAGTCAGTCATCTTTGTTTCTTTTGGGTCGAGCATTTCGTTGTGCGATAAACAAGTTGAGGAGATTGCAATTGGGTTGGACAAGAGCGGAGCGAAGTTCATCTGGGTTTTGAGGGATGCTGACAGAGCAGACATTTTTGCTGGGGAAAGCAGGAGAGCTAATTTGCCCGATGGCTTTGAGGATAGGATAATCAACTCAGGAATAGGGATGATCGTGAGGGATTGGGCACCTCAATTGGAGATATTGGGACATTCATCAACGGGTGGATTCATGACTCACTGCGGATGGAATTCTTGCATTGAGAGTATCAGTATGGGGGTGCCAATGGTAACATGGCCTATGCATTCCGACCAGCCAAGAAATGCAATTCTGGTGAACAAACATCTTAAAACTGGCATACGGCTCGGAGAATGGGGCCACGATGGTGAATTGGTCAAGGCCGATGAGGTTGAAAATGCTGTTAAGAGATTGATGGATTCGGGTGAAGGGGACGACATGAGAAAGAGGGCAGCGGCACACAGAGACGCCATTAAGAAATCAGTGGAAAAGGATATTACCAAAACTGAGTTAGATGCTTTTATTGCTCATCTTACTAAATAGATTTGTTCAATTCCTTTCATTTATATCAGTGTCATCGATGTGCAATGTTACCAAACCTGGCATTTTGCCTTTATAGTTGCTTTTCATAGCCATAAGAAAGATGCTTCAATTGCTTATCATAATATAATTCATAAAGTTCACTCGAAAATGAATTTACCAACATAACAAGACAAAAATTTCCATAATCCTTCAGTTTTCTTAAGACCTAAATGCGCATTGCAACCCCCCCTGGCGAACTTGCCCACACTATTCTCATACTATTCTGGACCTTATGAGCTTGCACTTCCACAACCATTACCCACTATTTCTGGCATATGAAGCATACCCAAAAAACAAGCTCAACGTTAATGCAGCCTTCATTCTTTGCATTCGTCTTTCACGTAATGTGCAGCGCTACTGCAAATAGTAGGGAGATCAAAACATTGTTTACTCCATGGTCTTCAGAATCGCTGCAGCTAATACAGCTACTGCAAAACAAAATGAATAACAGATTTCATGTCAACGGCATATAGAAGGAAAGTTTAGTGTGGTAACTCCATGCTTAGACATAAGCATACATAAGCATAACAAGTTATTAAAGAAACTCCTCAATACAAGCATTTCTTTTCCAGTATAGATGTGGAGAAAAGAAAAATTAAACAACACGAACCTTAGTTGAAAGAAGCATAATCTAATTAGTCAATTAGAAATCGCGCCTGGGTCGAGATTCAGCAGGGCTTACTCGGATAGCTCTTCCATTAAGATCCTGCAGTGCAACATTTGAAATGAGAAATGAAATCAATATAAGATACAAAACTAATGTTGAAAGCTGTCATGTACTCATGCCAGTCAGAACCAATTTAGGTACAGTGGTGAAATGGATAATGATGGGGAATGATGAACAACAAAGCAAAAGCCAACAAATATAAGTTTTTACTCATATGAGATGATAATCCAAGACAACATATGATCTTTTCAAATAATATGAACAGTATTGGCACAAGGCAACATATTATAGGCTTGAATGATGCTGGTTCATAACGCTCCAAGATAATCCTAGACAACATACAATTTTCAAATGATATGAACATCCTATTGTGTTCTAACTTCTAAGATGTAGCAATCAACTATATGATGCAAATCCCTCACAAATGAGGATCAATAGATAAGAGGTAAATATTCTTTCTAACTTAAAGTTAAACCACATGGACACACTAGCGAAATCATCAAAGATAACTTCACATGAACTATCCATTCCAATTTTTTTCTTTTTATAAAGAAAAAGATCATTCAAACAGGGTTAAAAATACTTACAACTCCATTCAACATATCAATTGCGTTGTTGACCTCATCAGCAGAGCTGTAAGTCACAAACCCGAAACCTCTTGACCTTCCACTCTCTCTGTCATAAACAACCTTGGCTTCCAAGACCTTTCCTTGCTCACTAAACAGGGTCTCCAGAGCCAAATTATCAACACCCCATGCAAGGTTCCCAACATACAGTCTGTTAGTGTTATCAAGATTTGCTCCTCCCCTACCTCCTCTAAAAGGAGAACCCTCTCTCTTGGCAGGTGGTGGCCCACTGTTCACCCTCAGTGCCCTCCCCTCAAGTTCCTGCAAAATGTAAGAGCTCCGAATGAATAGTGTATACAACCTATAAAAGTTGGTCTTCAAAGGGACCAATGGTGGAATGCATTAAGCTAAGCAAAAACAAATACGCTAATGGGTAATAAAAAGGGCCAAACAGAGGACAAATTACATATCCATTGAACTGCTGTGTAGCAGCATGAACTTCCGCAGCTGAAGACATGGTCACAAAGCCAAATCCTCTGCTCCTTCCAGTTTGCTTGTCATAGATAACCTGCACATTAGAGCTAGCTACTTAGACATGAATTATTCACTCTCAAGATTCATCAACAACCATCAAGTAGTAATAACGACACATGCAGCTCCAAGACAGTTATAACCAATCGTTTCTCCTTTCAAAATATGTACATATGTGCATCATCATTTACTTCACAGCAGGGTCATAATAAAAATGGTTCAGAAAATAATCGAAAGACCCAAACAGGGCACCAACAAACTCAACTTTAGGGGCCAAACAATGATAATCTTTTCACAAAGCATTATCGCAACCAACAATTCTGCTATACACAGTTCAGAACATAGCAAATTAAACCCCCCAAAAAAAAAAAACCAAAGAAAAAAACAAACAAAATAAAAACCCCCAAATTATTACATGGAAAACCGAGCATAACATCATAAATTAGTCAAAATTACGGTAAAATTCAACGAACAGGTCGGAAGAAAACGAAATTAGAAATGATGAAAAGGGAAAGAAGTCGTGGTTACCTCAACCATCTCAACATTTCCAGCACGTTCAAACAAGTCGGCGAGAGCAGCACTGTCGACGCTGAAAGGCAAGTTGCCGACGAAGAGTTTCTGGTCAGGAGAGAAACTGGGTCCATCATCCTCCTCGTCGTCCTCGAAATTAGAACCACCGTCACTCCCAACATCTTCCTCCTCATCCAAGACTCCAATTTGGTCGAAGTCGGACGAAACAGCGACTCTTCTGGCAAAGAAGGAAAAGCGCTGCGACCCGGATAAGGAAAGCTCAGAAGCAGCAACGGATAAGCATAATTTGGGAGTCGGAGCAGAGGGAAGCGAAAGCGGGTTCAAATGAACGGTGGCATTGGGTTTGGATTGGGAAAGAATGGTGCTTTGAGGGGCAAATGAGAGGAAATGAAGAGACGTAGCAGATGAAGCCATGGCTGAAGGAGTGGGTTTAAGGATTGAGGATAAGGTTTTGGTTGTGAAGGTGAAGAAGAATGAAGAGATAGCGAAGAAGATATTTGGGATGTGAAGAAGGTTTTATTTATAGAATAGAATTGTACCGGAGGCTATTAGATATTTTTCTGAAGTCTGTGAATTTTTGAAGATATTAGGTTCGAACGAATGGGCTTGTCATTATACTCCCCGAGGCCCATTGTAGACACCAGGGGTACTAATATTTTTAAAAGCCCAATAGGAGATTTTCGTTTTTCTCTTTTTTTCATTTTTCTTTTTGAAAAAAATCTTGTCCCTGATATGATTTATTTATGCAATTTTCATTTGATCTCTGGTACCTAAAATGCATTACCGAACAAAGATGTTTGAACTTTGTACAAATCTTATTTCAAGTCAATCTATATTGAATTATAGTGAATTTGTACTTTTGATAATATAAAGAGTTAAAGGATATTAAAACTGATCAAAATGTAGAGAACCAATAGTGGGTCGAGCTGTTTGAACTGTTTAACATATTTGTAAGACCTAAGAAAATAAAAGAAAACTTTCCTTGATTGGGACATATGAAAAGAAAACTTTCTATGATGATGCACTTTACATACACTATGTTGCAAAACATTTTGACACCCTTTTGCTGCTAAAATGACCTAAACTGGATTTCCCAAAACTTGGAAGCAAGTGATTTGAGCCAGCAGCAGTAAGTCTTCCTTCAGGACAAAGAAATTTTGCTTCTTCAGGATCAGTGGATCCGTAAGATGTAATCTATGTACAAATGATGAGTCCAACAGAAAGAAAAAGGAATGTCATCCTCGTGGTATAAACTATACTCTCTGATACTTTTGTATAACATTTTAGTCCTGATTTGAATTTGTTATTACCGCCTGGTTAATTATCAGATGGCTTTCCATTGTAACTCAATATGTACTATTCCATTCTTGGAGTTGATCAGATGGTACTTCTCGTTGATGCGTCCATTATAGACCACATCGCCAAGATTTATATCCACATGCCCCAGAGGTTCCTAGTCAAGAGATATTCAGACATTTCTCAGGTTCTGATAATATTTCTTTCAGCAGAAGGAGTTGAAGAGTATATAGAATAATAACTATACCTTTGAGCTTATGAAACCAATGCCTCTTGGCTTACTCGAGATCTCAACATTAATCTGTTCCTTCAAAGGAGCCTCTTCCAATAGAAATTCGAATTCCTCATTCCAAGTTGGATCCCGGTTTTTCCTGATTGACTGTTGATGAATTGATATAGAGTAACATAAGCATAAAGTTAGCTTATCTTTGATAAAAGCTGATAGAATTCAAAGTACAATAATCACCTTAGTTTTTCTCTTTTCTCCGTTGAGTGTGATTACTGCATAAGGATTAGTGTGCTTCCTGCCCTCAACATCTTTAGCACTGATTATTGTAACCAGAAGTAAACCAGCACCAGACAAGTTATCTTCTTTGGGAACTTCCATCCTTAGACTTCTAGAACCACCATACTCAATAACTTCAGTGAACTTTTTGCTGTCTTCTAGGAAAGGCACAAATGTAATCTCCAACATAATCTGCCCTCTTGGTTTTTTGTTATGGGGATCATTTGGATCTGTGCTATTAAGCAAATCAAGAGTGAACTCTTTCTTCTCGTATGCTGTGAGCAACCTCAGTGGAACTACTTGCATTCCCAACTTATCATGACAGCCCAACTGCAAGTTAACAGAGAAGCAGGCGAATGAGATCCTTAGAAATTCTAAATAAAATCAACTTACAAAAAGATGGACAATGAAGTAAGTTTGCTATCTATCAGAATTCTGGTTAAGACGTGCAATGCCTTATCCAGGAGAGATTATGCATTATCAAGCAAAATAAGAACAAGGATTCTGTTATATCTTCCATGATCCAAGAAATAATGGATCTGAGTCATGTTCATGTCAAGGATTTGAGTATAGCTTGATTGGTTATAAAATCCCCCAGACTGAAAAAAACTTTCATCAGCGAATGAGTGCTCGAAGTGAACCTCATCAAACCTTTTCCCAGTCATAGACATGTAACTCGAGAATTTGAGAATGGGGATCCTTCACAGGAATCTTGAATTCTTCATTCCACTCGGGGTTCAGATTGTCCCTCGTAACTGATGTCTTCTTGGCTGGAATCTTTTCTCCAGTGAGACTTAGTACAACATATGGATCAGATGCTCCCAGAAAGTCCTTGTTCAGGAGCTTCAGTGCCCTCAAAACTTTCACACGCAAGATTCCCACGGGCTTCTTCACTTCTCCTCTGTCAAAAAAACTAAACTTAGAGCAAGAAAACAGCATTTTTCGTGCATGTGAAACAGCTTTTGGACTTACATTGAACCATCAAACATAGGTATTTCAAGAGTTTTGGGCCACAGGTAAAGCTTAGCAACTTCTTTGCTTATAAGTTCCTGAAAGAACAAGGATAATGGAACTTCAGGCTACTCAGACATGGCATCAGCCAACAGTACAAAAATAGCTCATTAATTAACATTGTACATAGAAGGCCTGTTGGTATTTGGAATGCACCTGTATGGAGGGGTATATTCCTGGTATTGACATTAGGTTTCCTCCCATGATCTTCAGCCCGAAATCCACCTCTGGCTACACACATACACATATTATGTTATAGTTATTGGTAGCAAGTACAATAACAAATTCATCAAGTGTACAGAACAAATGAGCTCAAATCCTGGAAAATGAAATTCTTGACACCTTTTTCATCAGTGATACTGCTATGGTTGAGAAACAAGGGAAGGTTGGGACAAAAGGTTTGAGAGTTATTCTTGCTGTTGCTGATATCTGCGTGTCTATCAACTGCAGCAAACACAACCCAAAATAGTGAAAAATTACTAAAAATGATTCTAATATTCATCAGCTTGATACTGACCTCTAATTTTATAGCCTTTTCTGCTACTTTATACTAAAAGGATGCTGAAAAAATTATCAATAATAGATGGTGTTTTGTTAGTGATCACATTGATAATCTCTTCAAGGCCAATGACCAGTACGTCTAATTCGAATGTCCAACAAAGTAAGAAAATTGACTTTGAAGTTTTTTTCACCTGTACAGTGACTTTTGCTGCTAGCATCTTCACAGCCACCTCTATATTGGGATTTCCAGCCCATGTAAGTGCAAGCTCAGAAATTAGCTCGTCTTGATTTGATTCGTAAACTTTAAGACCTGCCAATTGATGAAGGTAGAATTTTCAGATACTCTATGATACAAAAAGAAATGTATGATATGTTATTCCATTTCCATTGTAGGAACCAAAATTAACTCTATGTTCCAATCTCCAGTAAACATTTCAGAACCTCATCATTGAGTCAGCAGAAAAGTAACTTTACTTGCCCTGAATTGTTGGAGGGAGAGTTCCAAGTGTAAGGGACTCAAAGTCTATAGACTTAAGGTGAAACTTTGCCATATACTCTGCAAAATAAGGTTTCATAGCTCTTTGGATACTGCCACAAATTGCCTGCAGAACGAAGGACTAACTTTTGATACACAGCTTCAACCAGGAAAGATGTGATGGTTTGGGATCAAACCACATGAAATCAAATACTATTAATCATAGAAATACAAGTAAAAGAGCATTGATTACCTTATCAAGGTAAGGCCACATGTAACGTATAAACATGTTCAACCAATCAACCTACAAATTACTACGACATTTTCAGCACAAGAATGAGATGAGTACAGGAACAAAATAAAACCCGAATGCGAAAAATGATGGTAAGAAGTTCAGAGCTCACCCTCTCGTAGTCTGGCTTCATCACCCACAATGGAAGCAGAGCTAGAAAATCAAACCAGGAGTTGAAGTACATCTCCACAGGGAGCTCAGTGACTGGAACCTGCAAATTCACAGTTTTGATTACGACAGCAGAAACTTACACCATGATACATGAAAGAAACAATCAAACAATCGCGTTACCTCGTTAACATTTCGTGGCTGGAAGTAAATGAATATGAAATAGCCCAAAAGAAGGCCTAATGGAACTCCAATTCCAAATCCAATGATTCCCAACAAACTCCCCACAAAACCCATCCTGTATTTTCTTCAATCAAAATCCGTTAACAAAATCTCTGAATTTTTTTTGCGTCCACATTTGATCGTCAAGTACTAGCCGAGTACCATCCATGATCAGGTTCAGGTCTTCTTCTTCCTTGCCATTTGAGGAAAAGGTCAATAAGAATAATATTACGACGACTAATTAATGATGGAATCAATCAACAAGTAATTGACTTTGAAACTCCAATAAAATAAAGCAAATGGGATGAAACGAAAGTTATGAGCAGAAGCAGAATTCGCGTGGGAAAGTGGATCCGGTATTCTGTCAGATAGCTGTGTTGTGATTGCGATGTGATGTTAAAATTATACTAGCGATTATTGTCCAAACTGTCACTCGCGGCGTCTTCGTCCACGTGGCAGAAAGGGATATCCGGGAATCCAATTGGAAGTTTTGTAAACTGGGCAAAGCCGGTCTCTTTGCGTGCGACGCTAGATCGACGTCCGATCATCGGAATCTTGCATGGATCATGGTCTTCATCGCCTCTCCGATAAAGAAATTACTGTTATTCAGGGGAGAAGTATTTGTGAAATGGGCCAAATTATAACTGTTGGCGAAATGGATGGAGATTGTTTTAATGTGAGCCCACTAACATTGATTTGCTGGTGCCGAAAAAATATTATATATACATACCAAGCCCAATTAATTTGTTCCCCTGGAATTGATCACGAGGGTAGCTCTTATACCCCAAATCTCTTTCTATGAATTTAACGATCTACCGATGTAGATTTTGCCCAACCAAAATCCACCAGTCCGCTAAACAATGACACAACAGAAGAAATTTACCTAACCACGTACCAAGAAATCATTTCAAGGCATACAGACATTCATATCTTGGATCAAAATCCCAATCATTTGTAATTTTATTACTCAACAAAAAACTTACAAGAGATTCACGTCTCAAATGGGACTGAAACATAATTCTAGGCTCTCATTCCCCAGTCAACAATTTTCCGCGCTTGGCTATTTTCCCACACAAGTTTACTTTTGGGTTAGACTTCTCCCCAAACTCTCAAAACTCAAGGTATTCTTACATGTTGCGTTTTTTTCCTCTCTCTTTTCTCCCTCCTTATAAATACAAGTCTACTAGTATTTATAATTACATATTGACAACCCAAATCATCTAGGCCATTAGATTACAAGTTAATTAGTTACATTTTCAAATTACTAAAATAACTACTTACCTTCCAAATAAAACTACTTTAATAACTAATGAAAAACCACCTCATAACTTGAATCTAATCCCTTTGGCTCTATGTTTTTAGCCATTCCTAACTCATGGCTTGAACCAGTGAACTAAACAAGTGCAACCATGCACAAAAAACACTTAGGAAAGTCATATGTAATATTTTACCTCGTAACAAACCTCTCCCACTTGAAATGTTTGATGCCCTCATCAAACAAACCAGCATATCTCCTCCAAATACCACCGATTTTGTTTGAACAACACCAACAATCTCTAAACATTTCTATCCCATTTATAGAAACAACTCGATTGTACCAAGTTCTCAAAACTCTGCACAACTCCAAGGCATGAAATAATTTTCTGCCCCTCAATCTTTTTAAGGTTTCCTGCTCGAAAATGAAGCCTTTCACTACTCCATTTCCTACGAAATCAAGAATCAAAGCCATCACCAACAGTCCCATAACCAGCCAGCAACAATAGAGGTTCTCAATCTCCACCCCCTTTACTGCCCTTCTTTTTGCAAAAGCAGTACCCGATCAAACTCGATCACCTATCTAAGCTGAAAATTTTTCACACGCTGTATCTTTGTAGATAAACAGCCACACGATCATCAAAGATTCTCACATGTTTCACCAAGAAACCCACAACTCGCTGCTACTTCCACCAAGAAACAGCCACGATCCCTCAAGATCCCACAAGTTTCATCAAGAAACCAACAACGAAAAATAAATTTCGACAATTCTTTTCCCAAAACTCGAATCAAGAACAATAAAAACTTACTGATTGTCCCATACCAAACAACAACACAAAGTCCTTGATCTCAACTGCATGTCCTTCTCTATAAGAACAGCAACACGCGATACCCAAATCACTTTGATACCAGCCCCATCTCTCGCAACCGAGGCTCTGATACCAACTTGTTATACCCTAAATCTCTTTCTATGAATTTGGCGATCTACCGATGTGGATTTTGCCCAACCAAAATCCACCAGCCCGCTAAGCAATCACGTAGCGGAAGAAATTTGTTTAGCAACATACCAAGAAATTATTTCAAGGCACACAAAGATTCATATCTTGGACCGAAGTCCCAATCACTTGTAGTTTTATTACTCAACACAAAACTTACAAGAGATTCACGTCTCAAATGAGACTGAAACCTAACTCTAGGCTCTCATTCCCTAGCCAACAATTTTTCGGGCTTGGCTATTTTCCCACACTAGTCTAATTTTAGGTTAGACTTTTTCCCAAACTCTCAAAACTCAAGGTATTCTTACATCTTGCGTTTTTTTTCTCTCTTTTCTCCCTCCTTATAAATACAAGTCTACTAGTATTTATAATCACATGATTGACAACTCCAATCATCTAGGCCATTAGATTACAAGTCAATTAGTTATATTTTTAAATTATTAAAATAACTAGTTATCCTCCAAGTAAAACTACTTTAATAACTAATGAAAAACCACTTCATAACTTGAATCTAATTCCTTCGGCTCTATGTTTTTAGCCATTCCTAACACATGGCTTGAACCAGTGAACCAAACAAGTGCAACCATGCACAAAAAACATTTAAGAAAGTCATAGGTAATATTTTAACTCGTAACATTAGCTATCATCAATTCATCATACTTGGCCATTAACGTTTTTTTTTTAATTCAAACATTATTTGGCTCTCTTATAGTCCTAGTGAATATTCATCATGTAATTGGGGGTGGCACATTATACTTCACATGTCAACACTCTGTTTTTAACCCTTGGCCGTATCTTTCTTTGTTTGGAGTGCAACTTTTAGAATTTATATCATTATAAACCAAACAAAAATGGTTTTCTTCCGCCCCAAAATAACACCTCGAACGGTACAACAAATAAAACCAATTTTTGTAAGAGGGACTCTTTGTTTGATATGGAAAAATTATCTGTCTTGAAACAAGAACTACATAAATCTAGTCTAATATTACTCCCTCCATCTCGAAATAATTACCCAGTTTAAAATTTCACTTTTAATACAAATTGTATTAAAAATAAGAGTTCAAACTGAATAATTATTTTGGATAGAATGAATACCATTTTACACCCTCTCAGGACAAATAGCAACGCATCTTTCTCTTTCTTTCTTTCTTTTTTTTTTTTAATTAAACGAATTATTAATAGGAGAAAACCACCTAGAGAACTACATATAATTACATATTGGGGATAAGATGGATTGATAACATTACAGTCCAACCAAAGTTTTATTTCAGATGTGGACTTATCCAACAACAACTAGCCTTTAAGACTAGAAGCACAATTAATGAAACTAAAAAAAAAAAATTGTTGGAAAATTTATTTCTCTATCAATATGTTTCAATTAATCATACCGTTCCACTCCGTAATACTACTATATGCTTCAAATAGGCTCCATAATTGCTTTGAACAACTAATTTACTTTCAACATTCAATCCGGAAACGGCTGAATCACACGATCCCTGAAAGGCTGAAACCAATCACAATGCCCCCTCTTTTTGGATCATATCTTTCTTCAGCGCATTATGACCAGTGCAGAAGATAATAAAAATTCTTTAAATTTTAAGAAAAAAGGAACTCATGAATAGTGACTTTTGGGGACTTGATTGGGTACGTAACTGATGATCTAACAGTAGTATAAAAAGGACAGAATATAAGGTGTTCATGTGTGTGTCTGATCAGATAATAATACTAATAACTAGGTACAATGAACTGGTTTCGAAACTCAGACCCCATGACTTTTATTAAAAAGAACAAAAAAAAGGTAAATTTACTCATAATGTAACATACAGTTCACTGCGAGAAACCCAAAAAATCTGGAGAATCCAGTAAACAAAAAAGTAGTGGTAAAACATAAGCAAGATTCTTGGGGGGAGCTTATTAGTTATAACTATCTTACCAGCCGTTGCTGGCCATATGGGGGAATTTGACTCGCTTAACCGCATCTTTCAACTGCCCATTCAGCAGATACTAATACTACTACGTACGTTCCCCTTCACTTGTTTCAATGTTTTTTTTTTCATCGAAGACTGTTCTGATTCAGAAGCATTAGAACAAAATACAACGAATGTGATTCTGTTGTTTAACGTTAATAATTCAACTGCTTGTGTTTCCCGGGTTAGTTATATACGTTCGCGCCCGTTCTGAGGTTTATAATTATTTTTCTACATGGTACTACTTTCTCCATTTCAGAAGGATTCATGTTTATGTCAAATTTTAAAAGAGTATTGAATTATGTCAATAGTTGTAGTTACCAAAGGAACGAAATTATAGTTACCTTCAAATGCTCTTGCTAATTCGAGTGTGTAATATACCAAAAAAATTCGGATTATGTGTAGGTTGTAGGACTATTATCAAATTTCATTGCTCCATTTTTTTTTTTAAAAAAAAAAAAAACCATTTTGGCTTTATTATTTAAGAAGATACAATTTATAGTTTTCTACTCGCTTCAAAATATTCAAGAAATTTATATATATATATATATATTTGTCCAACTAGCAATAAATTATACGAAAGAAAAAAAAGGGCGAACTACATTTTACCTCCTGAGTTTTAATCTATTCTACCATAAATCCCCCGAGTTTTGTTAATAATACCAAATACCCCATGAGCAAGGGTCAAACATTAAAATGACTAAAATGATCATAAATTATATAGACTTCATTTTCTTTTGTTTTTTTCAGTTTATTTTTTTCATTTTTTGACCATTAAAAATAAAAATTGGTTAAAATTTATCATTTTCCATCGAATTATAATAGAATTTAATAAATAAAAGTTAATTCATGATTAATA